TTTTCAGCACTAAAAACACTTTCAAAGACAGAAATCAGACACAAATCAGGTTACAGGTGGAAAGGGTATTTAATTTATTTATAAATATATTTTATTCAGTTTAGTTGAGTTAATTTTAGTCTAGTCTAGATGATATTTTCTTGTTCTAAATCTCCCAGAGCTGATGCTCACAAACATTAACCCGATGCCCATGTGTAGCCAGCAGCAGGCTGACGCATCCTTCAGTCTAGCTGGATAAAACCTCCCTTGCAGCCTGACAAAGAAGCAAAGCTGGGACAGGAGCGGTGGCGTGGTGGGGCAAGAGCAGTGCAAGAAAGAACCCAGCCACAATGGGCCGGGGAAGACCTGTCAAGGGGGGGTACTCAATGCAACAGAGAGAAGCAGCAAGTCCTGGGGCCATACTGGGGCCACCCTGGCAGTGCAGAAGGCTTCCTCCCCCCTGGATGCGGGGCACGAGGGCCACCTGCATGGAGCACGAGCAGCTGCCTTTGGGCTACCAATAACCCAAAGGAGCCCCATGGAGGGGCTGTGCTCTGCTTTGGAGGAGGCAAAAAACCCCAGGGACACTTGCTAGTCCACCTGGGGGCAAAAAAGCCTTCCCCCCCCAGCTGCAGGACACGAGGGGCCACCTTCGTGGTGCATGAGCACCAGGTGATAACGCAGAGCACCAGGACCAGAGGAGCCCTGACAAGTGGTCTTGCTCAGTGCTCAGAGAAAGGCAAAAATCCCCCGGGGACCGGTGCCAATCAGCCCTGGGGGAAAATTCCTTCCTGACCCCAGATCGGCTACTCCCTGAGCACGTGAGCAAGACCTGCTCCCCGTCCACGGGCTGGTTATGCCTCTGGGGGGACAAGGGGACCCTGGCACTGCCTGTTCTGCCTCCACCTGGAGCCATCTCAGGGGCTTCCAACAACAGCAAAATGCTGCTGGCCTGATCCAGCCTGGGAGCAAGAACCCTTCCTGTGCCTGGCACTAGAGCTCCAAAGCACTGGTGCAGGGCACTGGGCTTTATAGTGCCCCAGAGCACTGTGATGCCCTGCTGCCGGGTGCTGGCACTATGACATGGAGGCGACAGGGCCCCACAGCCCTGCCCACTACAGCCCTGCTGCTCCTTCGCCCAGCATCCCTTGAAGAAAGGCCTTTGGGGTGCTGGCCCTGAGGCAGTGCCTGTGCCCAGGAGGCCCAGGGGGATGTCCCTGTCCATAGCGGCCACACACCGGGCACTGCTGCAGGATGTCCCTCTAAATGAATCCCTATGTCCAGACTATATCAAGAAAAGCTTTTATACCATATAGTCATTTGAGTGTGGTGATCCCGGGGAGGGAGGGAGGGGGGAACGAGGGGACAGGGGCTGTAGTGATAGGACAAGAGGGTAATGAGTTCAAACATAAACAGGGGAAGTTCAGGTTAGATATAAGGAAGTTCTCCTTTGTGACGGTGATGAGGCACTGGAATAGGTTGCCCAGGGAAGCTGTGAATGCTCCATCCCTGGCACTGTTCAAGGCCAGGTTGGACAGAGTCTTGGGTGACATGGTTTAGTGCATGGTACTGTGCTGATGCTTACCATGTGCAACAACCAACCTTCCGTAAGTAAAGACACCTCCCATCTGTGTACGCAAAATGTTCAGCATTGCTGGATATTATTCTGCATGAATAGCAGAAGTCTAAGTGAAAAAGCACAGCAATTAAATCAACAAGCTGGCTGGGTTTTGTTGGTTTTGTTCACCAAAAGAATAAATCCTTTTTTTTTAAAAAAAAAAAAATGTGGTTAATTTTGAACACTTCTGCTTTATCTTTGAGGCATTGGCTGTAGTCAGTTTAATCGGGACTCTGTAACATGGAGACACTGAAAATCATGCCAGCGCAGAAACAACAGCGTGCTTATGGGATCTCTATTACTAGCACTTAATAAGAATGTTATTATTAGACTAAATTGTGTGCTATGCTACACTGCTAGCATACAGAAGGGGTAAAGGAAGACAGACATGAACTGTGTATGAGATAACTTATTTTATTTATTCAAATCTCAACTTAATTTTGATGCTAAAAATTGGTCAAAGGCACTTCAAAGAAGGTATTTAAGAAACAAATCCTTACAGTGAACATTCCTGACAAGTCACCAACTCATACATGCCATTAGGGACACGACTACCTATAATTGCAAAGTGAAACATTCACAGGTTCGAAGTAGAACGTACTGTCCAGCAGCATTATTCAATTCTTTTGGAGCATTAACAACGTTGTGGAGTATTTTAAATACAATATTGTAAAACAAAGGAAATTACATTTTTGGAGTTCCACAGAAGCTTTTCTTGACAGAAAAAGGGCAAAACTGCCTTTACAAGTGGTCCTGTACTGAGGGATCCATTTTCATCCATGCTTGCACTATCAACATCAGTAGCAGGCACATCAGAAATGACCCACATTTTTGTGTCATACAACAATAAAACACCCTGCTCAAACAGCAAACTGTTCATAAGAGGTCTAAAATCTATACTTCTGGAAGCCTAACAGAATGATGGCAATACACGAAGAAAAAGTGATTTTTAATATGTACCTCCACCAAAGCAAAAAAAAAAAAAAAAAGTGTCCCTATAAGCAAAAGGTACCAGAAAAAGAGAAAAGAGCTGCCACAAAATGCTAACATCACCAGCATTTAAACTCTTAAATAAGACCAACACAGACTGCAAAAATAAAACAACCAAAAACCCCACCAAAAAAAAACAAACCAAACCCAACCAACCAAACAAAAAATTGGGTGTGAAAGAATAAAATCAGTCTTCTTCTGCAAAAATACTATCCTCTAATTTAGCAGTGATCAGAAAGTAACTTCTTGGCATCCTTGTTCTCTCTGAACTAAAATCCACTTACCACAGGGTTAAAATGCTACTCTATTACACTGACATTCCCACATCCAGCTGCAAACAACTGCTGCCTAGTAATCTCAAGGAAAGGAGTTAAAAATTTTTAGGTGGCTCATTTAAATCACTACGGTATCAACGGAAGCTTTTAGGTCTTGAAAAACTGAGAAGCCTCTTTTAGAAATAAAACAAAAGCACAGGGCAATAACCTGTATGGCCTAAGAGAGCCTGTGCCCCTGTGCTTCAGGAAGGTCTATCCACCTCACGTACAGCAACCTCCTTGGGCTGCGTAAGTACTCAAGCTCAAAAAATGCCTTCTCAAAGCACAAAGACCTGGGAGTGAAGTAACTACCAATATTATCATGGAATATTATACATGAAAATTATGTGAACTGTTCACATTCTAACCACGTCTACTGAAGCTTTTGAATGCAGAGAGATACAAGCTAGTTATTTCAGAGGTTTCAGCTCATTGCTATGGCAGTACAACTCAACATAGAACAAAAGCCCTCTATTATAATTGCGGAATGTAAAAACTGATACTTTTCTAGCTTGTCTGGAAGGAAAAAAAGAATTCTTTGCAGCGCTGTTGGAAAGGCAAAAGAAACAGATTCTGAGGCCTAAGCACAAGGACACTTTAAAACAAAGCAAGAATGGACGTTTGAAGAAAAGGCTCCTCTTATTTCTCCAGACAGGCCACCTATTTATCACAAGGTAGTATGTTCTTAGCCTTACTCCCTCAAGAAATGGAACTTGTTCCTTTATTCCTCCATTCCCTCTGAGGTCTTGCATGCTTGTTGAAAGAGACATTCCCGCCCCACTCTGCTAAATGCGCAAGCCACAGCTGGGCAGCAGACAAGAATTGGAACTGCTGCCGAGAAAACGCTTCACTGGCAGCTCAGCGGTGCCACCTCGGCAACCAGCCTTGTGCAGAGCTCAAACATCTCCCTGCCTGCTTCCTCTTGTCCACCTGAGACTTGCGCATGATGAAATTGAAAACTCAAAGACAGAAGTCAGGACAGTAAGGACCATGAAGAATAAATGACTTTACTTCACAGAGCAGCACAGGGCAAACACAAGACACAACTCTGCAAAAAAGTCTGCAGTTAGTTCTGCCTGTTGTGGTAGAAAATCTTTAAATCCGCACAGATGAACTGAGGAAGAAAGCTGAAATAAAGGAACCGTAAGCTAGTTAGGAGATCTTTTACATGGGCTGAATTTACCAAGAGATTAAGTTGGTATCCTGGTTTCATTTTATAGCTTCCCCAAGTATCCCAGAAAATTTTAACTGCATGCTTGAACAATGCCATTGGAAAGATCAAAACCATATGGAGTTCACAATATCACTGGTTTGCGCTGCATATGGGATAAACATTTAGCTCACAGAAGGAAGCACCTTACAGCACGGTACCATCCATTCTCCTCTGGACTAGCATCCCTTTACTAGGGCAAACTGGAGACTTTCCTTCTTTAAACAAATGCAGCTATAACTTCCTACTTAAGTCAATTAACATAAAATAAAGTTCATGTCCCTTTCAGTACTTCAGAGGCAGTCGTGCTGATAAAAGACCAGCAGATTTAACCATGCAGGAACTATTCATTTAATTAACACCTGATGTTTGAACCTGGCTTACATTCAGGCAGAGAAGTATGTAATAATTCAGCTCCATCAGAGACTTCAGCAATCACCATCATGCTGCTGAGCAATGCTCAGAAAGGTAGCCATGACTGTTTACTGATGGGCAACAGACAGAAGCCCAATCTGTACAAGAACTATCTTTGGAAAAAAAAAAAAAAAAGTAAATCCAGTCCTTTATGGTAACATCCTCTTCCAGGAACATCCTGAAGGACAGCAGTAGTAAATAAGGCTGTCTGCTACCAGTATGTGCCCTTTCCAAAACAATGACTGGAGGTAATTAGGTTATGTCCAAATTCATCAATATGATGAAGGTGAAAAGTGAGAAAAAGATGAAAAAACTTTTGTTCAAGTGTGGAATAAAGATACACTACATGCCAAGCCTAATCCCATCCCCCACACTGCTATTCACTCAATCTGAAAGAGAAAACCAGAAAGTTTTATATTAACTACATAAAGCATAGACTTGGTCTCTGAAAATCTTCCAGTAATTAAAATACTTATTTTTATCCCACACCAAGAAAGTGTCTTCAGTTAAGAGGCAGAGATACTCAAAGTAATGGAGAAAGTTAATGCACTTTCAAAGATTCCTGCATTCAGGCTGGTTTACCTGAATAACTATATACTTCAGCTTCAAAGAGTGAGATAAGGATCATTTAACACTTTGTCCTGAAAAAGGTAACAAGCAGCAGCTACAGAAGAAATTTTTAAAGGTGAAGGGAAAAAAAAAAAAAAGGAAAAAAAAAAGAATGAAATTAAGTACTTCAGCCAAATAAATGAGATGCGTAGGGAAGCAGTCAAATCAGCTTTGCTGCCGTTTTAAAATGGGACTTTCTTGTATCTGTAAAATTTTAATGTACAAGGTAACTCCACAGTCTCAAAGTATAGTGATGTGAAAACTAAATGGAAACAAACTAATTATAATACTGGCTGAAACCAAGATATTATAACGTCATCGTAACTTTGCCAAGATACTATTCTTCCTGGTTCAGATGGAAGGAGGGATGGAAGAGAGAATTCTATTTCAAAAAGCATCTACCTTATCTTGCGTTGAGAAATTCTGAGATGAATTTTTACAACCATTCAACCAATACAATAATTTAATGCAAAAGAAAAACATTTTAAAAAGCTACAGGTAAGTATGTAAGCAGCTTGCCTTGCCTCAGCAATTGAAACAACAGTAACCATTTCTGGGTTTCTCCCTAAAGCAGTAGCGATTCAACTTCATATTGTTTCATACAAGAGACTTAAAAAAGTTAAAAATAATTCATGGCAGTGAATTCCATTTCTGAAACAACTCAAGATTAATCGTTTGGGTGGATCTCTGCCTATTCATAATAGCCAGTCTGCCATTAAAGCAAAGCAGACTATTTTCACTCCTCTCCCTTGTAGGGCAAGGTACACAAACTAATTTCAAGATACTGAGAATACTAGAGAAAGCCATCACCAAGTATTTGACTATGCAGCATCCACTTTCTACCATTAGAGCTTACCTAACAGAACAGCTGGAAGGAAAAGGGGAACAGAAAAAGGAACAGAAATACTGTTTGATTATCTCTGAAGCCATCCATATGAGTTTCATACAAATTCTTCCAGGTATTAGTGTATCAGAACAACCTCCTATTTCACAGCTTGAGAGCCCTAAATCTTCATTGAGCAGGTCAGCAAGGTCACACTATCCCAAACAGTCAGAGCCAGCACCAGATTCTACTGTACATAGACAGCAACAGGCAGCACTGCCAATGTGATTTTTTTAAATAAGAATCACTATCAGTAATTTCAGTCCACAAGCTTCATGCAGGAGTTTGAGGAGACTCCTACTCATTGTACTGGCTTCTTTTTGTTTTCTTCAAAGTCTAATTAACTCTCAGTAACTTTTTGCTTTAGCTTCTGATTATCCTCCAGTGCTTCATTTTTGCTTTGCTCTTCTGGATTGGTTGCTGGATCAGGATTGTACCGATACAAATACCCATACGGACGGAGATGATAAATCAAATATTCCAATTGATACATAGTCATGGAATCAACATAGTGGAATGAAACTGCTAGATCAGAGCAGCATCCAGGACCCTAAAATACAAAACAAGTCAAAGTCATCAGCTAAAATTGCAAAGCATGCCCTGCATTAAAGACCCAGTAAGAATTCAAAAGCATCCTTGACTTCATGGTAAGAAATTTACTATCATCAGTCACATATATACTCCAAAGCATAATGTCAGGGAAGCAAAATGTATCAAACATCAGCCAAAGCATCTTTCAAAAACAGAAGTTTAACAAAATCGTCTGTTTCTGTAACTAAGCAGGTAAAATACCTAGCTGCTCTCAATAACATCACATTTTTTTTCGCTTTTCCATACTTTGCTTTTTATGTTGGTGTTTAAACAAAACCAAGTGGCAGTGAGCAGGTCTAAATGCATTGTATTTCCATATGAAACAATGCATACATGATACTCATGATAGCATCCACTCAGAGTACACAAGCCAAATAAATGTGTGTGTGCATGCACCTGTGTGTGTGTGTGTGTGTTCACACATTACACAGTTTGGCAAAACCATCAGTATCTAGTTTCCTATAGACAGAGAGTTGTAACGAATCATGTTGGAACTATTTTTTAAGTTTATTAATTTCATTGTCCCTCCCCATAGCAGGGGGGTTGGAACTAGATGATCTTCAGGTCCTTTCCAACCCAAACTATTCTGTGATTCTATGATTCATGTTCTTAAGCATTTTTAAGAACTAAAAGATCTTAATTAATACACTTGTTGCAACTTTTATTTTCTAGCTCAAATTCAGCTATGAGAACGCTTTTCTGGAAGACAGTTTGGGAGGGGGCTGTTCATCAGGTTTGGTTGCAGAGCTGCTAATATTCCAGTTCTAACTGGAACTAAGATTAAAATATTTAAAGACACTGAAGTGAGTAATTGTTACAGAACTGTTATTCTTTCAATGCTTATTAAGTTTGATCAATATACCATGGTTTTGGTACCAGACAAAGCAGTCTCTATCCAAACACAACTACGATAGGACAGAATCAAATATGTGATTTCCATTACGGATCTCCACCACCACTGCATCCCTTATAGATGTAAGTGCCCACAGCTCAGCCACCTGTGAAGAACAACCGTAGCTAAAGCTGCTGCATCCTGACACACTAAATACGTTATTGTAGCTGGTTTAAACTACAGAACTGCTCTAGGCACTGAATACAAATATAAAAATAAATGCTTTACAATGAAAAGAATCTGCTGAAGAGCTAGATCCCTCTCCCCCCCCCCCCCAGCTTTACTGTGTAAGAAAGCCTACATCTTATCCTTGATTTTGGCTACTTATGCTCATGTCAAAGCTTGCTGAAAAATAAAACCTTTAAAAGTGAAATTATAATCTTAAGAAGAAACCTAGGTGATCTTAAGGTCCTTCCCAACCCTAACTATTCTATGATTATACGATTACGATCAAAGTTCACAATGCAGAATACCTTCAGGTTGCTTTAAGTGGCACCCTGCTCCAACACACACCTTCTGGTTGTTTTTTTTTTTTTTTCCTTTTTAAACCACAGATTTCAGATATGAATACAAAGGACAACTTGAAATTCTTGTAGTAAAAATGTTTCATTTTGTAAATACTACTTCTGTTGCTCTAACAAAAGGATTTTTTAGAATTTACTTTGCCAGCTCTTATGCTTGCCTCCACTTCTACAGAAGGGAGACAAGAGTCCAGTACAAATACACGAGGAAATCTAATCATATTTCTTTGTTTGGATCATGCTGTTATTTCACTTCTAGGCAACGTTCATTATTCTGAAATCTTTTCAATGGAATTCACTTTACCATTACCCACCAGCACCTTGAGTAATATGGGACTCTCTTAGACAAAATTAACCAACTACAATCACTAATGAGTCCCAAAATTAGTTCTACAGGTTCTATCAAAGTTTGCTGTTGGGTAGAAGATAAAGGTGCATCAGTGCCACCTTCCCTTTCAGTAGGCTTCAATGTAACTAATGTAACTAACACTGCTCGGCCCAGCTCTATGCAGTGAGCGCGTACGCCTTGGAATTGATCAGTCTCACTGCACACTTGGTAGTTGGATGGGTGAAGGAGAAACTAGGGGCACTGCGTGCAAGATGGAAGGGACCGAAACAGAACAGTAACTTTGCAAGGAAGGTAGTAGTGGTGACACTAAACAAACATGTCGAAAAGGTTTCATCATTTCTTGCTGTCCACAGAACATAGCAAACCAGCAATAATAATTTAAAATACCCTAGCTCTTTTCCAACATTAGGCTCTTAGCATCAACTTTGAGTTGATTACTGTATTTAACACATCTACACACAGGTGCATCACAGGGTATCACAACAAAATCTTCTTTTCTAAAATATATATTGAGCAACTACTAAACTTCTAATTCACACATCATAAGATGTACTTCATAAAATGGGTACCAGGCTCCTAAGGACTTACCTCTACAGCAGGATAATAATTGTAATTCCAGTACCAGAATGTTTTTGGCAAGTATCCTCTGACTAAGTGATGTTCTGGAACAAAGGGATGAAAGGTTTCTCTACCACTTGTATCCCTAGAATCTCCTGCTTCCACATTAATGATCTCCATGCATTTTCCTAGTGCAAGGTCTTCAATTGAGGAACTATGAGAGCATTTGTTTGTTTTAAATGCAGCAACAAATCTCTTCAGAGCTTCTTTGCTCAGAACATAACCTGCTCCTCCACTCATGTAACCCTGTTTCACATAAGGCTTAAACCTTCTTCCAAAGTATATTGGCTGTTCAGGACTGTATTTTGAAAGAAGCCATCTCAAATTGTCCAATATAACATATGTATCATCATCTGCTTTCATAAACCAATCAGCATCATCAAAATAATGGTCATGCACATACTGAAAAGCTTTAATAGTCTTCCAGTACAGTTGGTCTCTGCCTTCTTTGGCTTCTAGGCCCACAGTTGGGAAGTCTTTGTTTTCCTCGGAGCTCATAAAAAGTATTTTATTACAACGTTGGGCCCAAGTGGCCTTAACATGCCTGGCTTTCTTTTCTAGATTTTGAGGTCCAGTCATGACCCAGCACAGTATTTTCACCTTCTGATACAGTCCCTCTGCAATATTTTTATTCTCATCTAATAAAAAAAAAAGAGAAAAGTTCCAGAACAATATTAGACTTGATTGCAAAACAAAGAGCAGCCTATCCCCTAGACATTGTTTCTACATCAGAAAAGAGATGCAGAGAGAGAAAAGGCATTTGCTTCCAAATGTAAAAGGTAATGAAATGGATGTCAGATTTCAAAAGAAAGCAAACAAGACTCCCCAAACCCAGAAACTAAAATTTTTAAAGTTACTGATCATTACTGAAATATGATCTTAAGGTCCTCTCCAACCCTAACTATTCTATGATTCTACTTCAACTTAACAGGATAAACAAGAGCATAAAAGCCAGACTGGAATAGGTATCTGTTCAGGAAACAGGCTTTAGAAAACCTTGATTTGTACATCAAAACTGTTGGGAGACAAGTTTTTTATGGTGTTGGAGGATTAATGAAAATTAAAAAGCTGAGTATTTTCGCCATTCACAGTGAACACGATTACAGCACAGAGAGGTCAAAAAGCTAATAAGGTCTGTTGTATATAGTCAGGTTAACTAACAAAACCCAGCAATATATTTTTGAAGGTAAAAGCAGCTGGTGAGCCAGAAAGAAAGAATTTATCACCAAACCAAGTCAAATCTTATTTGTAAAAAAACAGATTAAGTTAGGATACTTTGAAACTAGTATTACTCTTCTGCTTAAATGTATTTATTTGCAGACAATCCAACAGAATAAACAGACACGGTTATCTGAGGCACATAATATAATATTCAACAAGCTGCCAAAGCATTCATTTCCCTCAAAGAATCATTTTCACTTGACACATACACAGCAATTGTAACTCATGTAAAAGAATATTCCATGGCGAGTAAGATCGGCATAACTTGTCCTAAAATATTCCTGTTTATACTTTCTGCAACAACTGATCAGATTTCTTTGTAACAATGCTCCACCGTTACATGTGAAACACTCACAAACTTGTCTTATGAAGTTTGGAGTTTAAATACATTTCAATAGCAAATCACTTATTAACATGTTCAGCAAATGCACTAAAGTGAATTTTTTCTCATCCAAACTGTCCCATCTCAGATGCATTTCTCTGGTTTTGACTGCAACAGCAACCTGTGCTTGTTCACTGGCACAGGTTGCCCAGAGAAGCTGTGGCTACCCCATCCCTGGCAGAGTTCAAGACAAGGTTGGACAGGTCTTTGGGCAACCTGGTCTAGTGGAAGGTGTCCCTGACCATGGCGGGGGGGGGGGGGGGGGGGGGGGTGGGGTGGGGTGGAAATAGGTTATCTTTAAGTTCCCCTCCAACCCAAACCATTACAGGGGAAGTTTAGATTGGATATAAGAAGGAAATTCTTTCCTGTTAGGGTGGTGAGGCACTGGAATGGGTTGCCCAGGGAGGTTGTGAATGCTCCATCCCTGGCAGTGTTCAAGGCCAGGTTGGACGAGGCCTTGGGTGATATGATTTAGCGTAAGGTGTCCCTGCCCACGGCAGGGGGGTTGGAACTAGATGATCTTAAGGTCCTTTCCAACCCTAACTATTCTATGATTCTATTGTTCTACGACTGCTGCATAATCAGCTTGGCAAACATTGAAACAATGCGTACAGTGGCCCCCTCTGACCACCCCACCATCCCAAATTTTACTAATTGTGTAAAAAAGTAATTTTATGATTTCTGATTTGGTTTGGATTTGTTTGTTGGGGTTTTGTTACAGCTTTATCTAAGAGGCTATTTCAAAAGTTAGAGGTAGTCCAAAAGTAGCTCCATTAAGCTAAAAAGCAATTCAGGCACATCTACAATGCTAGCAAATACATCTGCTTAGCAAAACCACCATTTGATATCAATAGTTCATTTGAGAAGCTCCTGCTTCAAACAAGTCTAGATACAGAAGTTCAACAAACAGTTGAGCTCTAAGGAAAAAAACCCACTACTATAATAAAAATGTAAACAAAGAAAACCACCAGTCATTGGACCTCAGGAGAACAAAGTTATTTAGAGGTAACCTGAACATGGGGAAAGGTTCATACAAACTCTTGGCAGTGAATAAAGTAACACTTTGCCATGCATGAAAACGGAGCATATTATATAATTACTCAGGCGTAACAAAATACCTTTATGCTGTCCAAAGTCTGCATTGAAATTCATTTGCCCTTGCAGCTGATTGCTATCGGTATCTGATGAGTGCTGACCATGCGGATCATTGTGAAGGACATGAGGCTGGATCTTTACTTGTTCTTCTAGTATAATGCTAAACAGAAGATAGCATACAAAAAATCCTATTGCTGATCCAAAAGTGAAGGTTAGAAGGTTCATCAAAGACTTGGAAGAGGCCATCTCCTGAAGGTAATGCACTGTCAAAACCAAATGAAAAATACATTAAAGCTGCTTAACACAGAAATCAGATCTATAGGAAGAAATCAAGGACTAAATCTCTGGAAGCAGAGATCTCCATTCTAACTCAGATTCAGCTCCCCTGGGCTTCCCTGGAAGTTTAAGTACTAGAGCAATGCAAATATTCATACAAAATTGTAAATCCACTGATAAACTTAGTGCAAAAGGCTTATCATATTCTTTAGCTTAAAATTATAATCACAATAGTGACTGTACACACAAAACCCTTTCATATTTATACAAGAATGCATACATTTAAAGTGCAATCTCTTAATTATAAACTGCAATATAAGTTCACTTCTTTATTCTCTTCGTTCCAAGAAATCTATGCTTTAAAATGCAATACCTATTATAATGTCATACAAAGCCAAAAGATGATGATCAAAGGCAATCTACAGGTCCAGATACAATATGGACATTGGACGTACCTAAACGCCAGGAGTAAGTATAGTATGGGGATTCTTTAAGAGATGTCAAATACCTGCAGATTTTCAAGAGTTATAAAAGCAAATCTACTCTCAAAGTAGGGGAGTTTTCCTTCCACTTCTAGGAAGTATTGAGGATACACTTTCAGGAGAAAGAGTAAGACAACATCTGAATTTTCATGCAGAAAACCCCATTCTTAAAGGGAAGAACAAAGTGCCTCAGCCTCAGGGCCTCATCTACAGATCAAACCCCTTGTATTCTGGTAACAAAAAGCAAAAACCTTCACTTCAACTACACCCCTTCTCCTCAAAAACCAAAGGACTTGGCTGACCATTTTTATAAAATCAAACAAATCTGCATCTACGTCTGCATAAAGTGAGATTTATATATCCAAAACAGGTGTGAGGTTTTATTTATTAAACACTTTCAGGCAAATCAATTTTAGGCTGTTGAGACCCCAGGCCTTTTCATTTTTGCAAAGGGTAGAGATATTTTGTAAGAATTCATGACTAAACTACAAAAACATTGACCATTAAATATATACTGGATTCAAGCCAGAGCCTTACAAACAAGTTGATGATGTTCCCTCTATTAGGATCACTCTTAATGTCTATGGGCAGAACCCACTTTAGTTAGTTAGGGAGCCAAAAAAAGAAAATGATGGAATGCACAGAGCATCAATAAAAAACATTGATCTGAAGAGCTGCAGCCACCAAACAACTCATTTAGCCTGCACTCCCACTTCTCTCATTGGCTATGTACAGTCTATTGGAAAAAGACTGTCCCCAAGCAAGCTGCATAAATCGCTCTGCAGTAACACACACTCCAAATACCAGCTCTCTGTCTGAGTGCTCTCCTGAACATACAGCAGAGAGGACACAAAGCAGGTGTATGTTTTGTTAGGGTGGTACTTTCAGAAATCATCAGATTTACTGTGCACAAAAAAAAAAAAAAAAAAGAAAAACTCATGCAGGCACACACCATAGCTGCAGCACCTTCTAGAATAAAAAGTCTCCATTGTTCCACTTTCCAATATTGGGCACCTCTTTGCCATACAATTTCGGTTATCTGCTCTAACACCTGCCAAAATTACTCTTGCTTGGAGAGAAAAAAAAATAATTAGAAAAACACGTGAAAATAACTGCTGCTTATTAAATTATGGAATTATGTTAAATTGGATTCTTTAGAAAAAAAAAACTTTAAGTGCATTGGAAAAGTTAAAAGAGAAAAAAGTGTATTCATCACATTTGGAAATCAGAAGTTGATCTGTCATTATTCTAGAAGCAAAGAGGATTTCTGGAAGCAGACTGAGACAGATGCCAAAGCTGTACTTGGTATTTGATATGAAATATCACTGGTTACCATTTTCAATCTAAAATAATCCATCATTATATCAATTTTATATAAACAGACTGGACTACCATATACATATCTGTGTAGCCATATGTTTATAAACTCCAACAGTAAACGGAACAGAAATCTTCATTTTTTTTGTGTTATCCTTATATTTGACCTGAGTCTTTTAACTTGCCAGCAAAAGTAACTGTGCTATAGCATTATAGTAGAACCAGAAAACGCCTATAAGGGAAGTAATTTCTTATTATGATAAGCATCCCCACTCAGATTCTCTATTGACATTCTTTTCTATACAGGGGTTTACTGAGGGTCACAACATACAGAACATTTAAGTGTTCACAGTCAGGTTGGATGAGGCTTTGAGCAACCTGATCTAGTGAAAGATACCACTGCTCATGGCAGGACATCAGACTAAATGATCTTTAAAGGCCCCTTCCAACACAAACCATTCCATGATCCTATGATTCTATGACATACAGAGAGGGAAAAGGTATATACAAAACCTACCAGGTTGCTAAAAGAAATTTTATTCATGTTTCTGTTTTTACTTCATTTGACTTAAAAAAAAAAACAAAAACAAATGCTTTTTAAAAAACACCTACAACAAAATCCTGGTTTAAATTTATGCTCCACTGCCCTATCATGGCAGCTTAAACATATATATGTATTTAGATATTCACATCAGCCAGACCAACAAATATTCTAACATTCTATCACAACATAAAAGTCACTGTACATGTGGCTCCAAGTTTTGTGAATCTGCATCTTCAAACTTACAGAAAAAGCATTTCTTCTGTGTTAGAAGCTGCTGAAACTGGTAGCCCAATAAAGACAAGGCAGCTGCAACTCCATGTCCCCAGATCTGGCCACTGGCAAGGCTGAGGACGTATTCTCAGACTTGCACATATGAACATGCACATACAGGTGTCTGAACATACAGATCAATACAACTAAAACCAGTGTCTGGGGGGCAAACACAAACATGGGCCAGGAATATGCTGCTTCTCTCCCTAGCTGATTAGGATAAAAGCCTGTTACTGGAAATATACAGGTGTGTACAGTGGTGGGATCCACTATACTGACACTATACAGACACTCAATCTACCCAGGAACCAACACTGACTCCTCAGTCTTCCAAGATCCCCACTCCAGTTGCTGGTACAAACCCCCTTCACATAGATACACACACGTCGCACCCACAGACATGTCACAGCTCCCCAGCAAATGGCCTTAGACATTCAGTCCACTCAATAACTGGCCCTTGGATTCTTTTGTCTCCAGTTGCCCTGCTCAGAAACACACATGCAAATGAGCCTCCAAAACAGCCCCGAGATCTTACAGTCCCTCTGGCAGCTCGTTTGACCTCCCGCACTCTCATATTGCCAAACTGGAGACCTTATGATCTCACTAGTACCTGTCTCACACTTACAGCTGCCTCAAAACCTGGCTCCCAAGTGTCTTACCCTACTTACCGGCTAGCCAGGCATGCTATTCACTAGCAATCACGCTATTCACTAGCAATCACACACTGGCATGCTCGCCAAGACAAAATGCATGCACTCTGCTCTCCGCAGTTACTCGCACTTAAGAGACACATAAGCCACCGTGACTTACAGTCTCCACTGTAGCTGCTGGCATTTAGACCCTCCCTCACTCCAGTCTCTCCCCCTGCTGGCACATCAGACACAAAGGTCCCGATAATTTCGGTTACCACTCCAGTTGTTGGTGCTTATTCCTCAGTATGAATATAGCACAGAGCCCTCCTATCCAGGAAAAGAGAAATGGAGCTTAATGAGAAAAGAGGACAGGCTATGGTAATCTGGCACAGCACATTGCCAAACATAGTGGCCAACCACTTGTTTACAATCAACCAGGCCCTTTATCCCCTTATCCCTTTTATCACCTTACCCTTCTATTTTCCCATACTTGTTCCGGCTCAGCGAACCTTACTCCCTCATTTTAGTCCATCCCCTAAGCATCCCAAAATAAGTTTTGTACAGTCACAAGATACTCTTCTCCTGCACCCTATAATATGTCCATATTCTATAGGCAGTTACACCTTAATCTTGCAAGCTTTTCCAGAGAGCCTTTCTGTTGACTTATTTTGATGTGTGCCACACCTGGGCAATGGGACTGATGGCTCTCCAATGACAGAACCTGGGGCTACTTCCTCTGATGAGATTAATGGGGTCCCCCATCCCTGCTGTGCCTCTGTGCAGGCATGGCAATGAGCCTTTTAACACATTGATCTAGAATACCATCCTCACTCTGGTAGCTGTTCCAACAAGGATTAAGGTCACCTTCATAAGCCTAAAGGAAACTTAAAGAATCCCCAAATCCCCATGCAATAGGAATAACAGGATACTGGAGTTTGCCTCATTCCCACCCCTCAAAGCAAAACAAAAAAAGCCCTTTAAAATTAATACTTTAAAATAAATTCAGACTATGTAACTTTCTGAACTTGTTTACAGAGAAAATACAACAGCAACAAAAAAAAAAAAAAAGAGCAAGCTACCAAATCTGGAGATCTTGACATTTACAAAATAATCCTAAATATTTTACACATGCTTTTTGCAGCACCACTCCATAATCACTTTAAGATTTGATAAATTAACTATGAGAAACAAGGCTAGCCTACACACACTGCTGACTCTTCCTCACATCCCTCACTTACAAGTGATGGGGAAGCCCTGAGGCCTCAGCATGATACAGAATGCAAATGTCCTTGGACAGCTGCATAATTAGCAGTGAAATTGATCTCCACTACCACACCCTCACCAGCCAAAGAGGGCATCAGAATAACTGAAGTCAAAATGTAGAAAACATGGTTAGCTGTGCAATGCCCAGAAAGGTCTTCTGCTCTCCGAGTCCCATTATTTCCAGGAGCTTTACAGGGGCATATTCATACGCTTCTAAAATGAAGAAGCAAAAGTTGTATATTTGCTAATACTGTCTACATCTGCTGCAGTTTCCTACCAACTAAGGATAAATTACATTTTTCACTTCCCTTTTTTTTGGGGGGGGGATATCTAATATTTCAGGCATTTCTTTGGAGAACTTTAACCATCAAAAACTCTTGGTTGTTCTACCACAAAGTATAGCCAGCAAAATAAGGTATTTTGGTATGGGTGGCCATTGAAACAAGACGTGCCATAGCATTGAAACAACACGTGTAACAAACCACAGCACAGGTGAGACGGAAGAGATATACTGCAATCTCCTTCCTCATTCCAAAAACTGACATCCCTCCCGTAGCAACAAGTTACCACGTCCGAAGAATGGCTTTCTAAACCTCTACTAACAGCGCTTACTAGATAACTGCAACGTCAGTCCAGGAAGTCCCTGCTACAAGGAGCAGAGGCGGAGAGTGTGGAGCAGCAAGCAACTCGCCCTCCACAACCACCTCGCTCCCTCGACCGGGGCTCTGCCGGGACCCGCTCTCTTTCAAGTAGAGGCCCCTCCCTCCGGAGCCTCTCTTTCCCAGCCAGGCACCTGCTGTTCCCGCAACCGCAGCTCCTGCGGACACCCTTCTCGCCGCCGCCGAGGTGACACGCACCACCCCGACCACCTCCTCCCGCCCGGTCACCGCAGAGAGACACCTTCCTTCAATGCCTCCTCCGCAGATGGGGCAGTGCCACCAGAGGCCTTGCCCGACGGTCTCACCCCTACGACTGCCCAGCGCGGGGCCCCATCGCCACCGCCTCAGCGCCGCCCCTCACCTCGTCGAGCCGGAGAGGCCCCGGCGCCCGCTCAGCCGCGCGGCCCGCAGTCAGCAGCCGTTGGCCGCGCGCACGGGAAGCCGCTGCCAAGCCCACCGACCTGCGCCCTCACCACCGGCAGCACCATCCCGCCAGCCCCGCGCTGCACCGGGCACCCCCCGCACCGGAACGGGAGCGGGGCCGGGGTCCGCCCCGCTGCCTGCTCATTGGCTGCGAACGCCGTGGGGGGCGTGGCCGGCCCCGCCGCTCTCATTTTAACCCTTGCCGCCGCCACCGCCGCGTGGCATTTCGCTTGCCCTCGGTGTGGTTCGGCGTGCGTGCGGGAGCCGCCACGGCCGGTGGCTGGCGAGCAGGAGCGCGCCCTGACCGACCGAGCGCGGTACCCCGCTGGGGATGGTAATCTGCCCCTTCGTACGTTCCCCCTCTGGTTGCCTGCCGGGAGCGCGGCCACGTCGCCGGGCCAGGCCCCGAGTACAGCCCATGTCTTCCGTGTGGGGAGACCGCCGGGTGGGTGCCCCAGGATGCAGCTGCAGCGTGAGCGGTGTGGCGGCCGGCCCGCCCGCCCGCAGCGCCTGGTGGGTGCGTCGGTGAGGGCTCTCCATGTGGGAGAAACAGCACAGGGCGTGCGAGGGGGAGACGGGAGAGCGAGGAGCGTCGCCTCCCCTTGGCCGCTGGAAGGTTTGCAAGTGGTGTTCCGGCGCCGGTGTCTCCCTCGCCGACTCTTCAGGCATGGTTAGGGAAGAAATGCCTCGGGCAGGGCTGCTCGCCCGCCTGTTTATCGCATTACCTTGCTTCTTTTGTCCGGTCTTGCCTGGAAGCAGCCGTGCGGTGTGCTCCGGCCGGGCTGCGGAGTGCCGCTGCTTTCCAGCCCCTTTTTCCTTGCACTTGAGCCGGTCTGGAGCCTCTGCGCTTCCAAAATACCATTAGGCAACTGCAAGGGACGTTGCTAGGTAACCAAGTCCTCTGAAATCATTCCTTATCTCCCTGTGCTAGTGCTGCCTACCTTTTTAACATCCGTGACGTTTCTCTCTCGGTATTTTTCCTTAGGAAAAAGCTGTTGAATATGAAGAAGGATTACAGAGGTGTTTTACGTTACAGGGTAACCAAAGGACAGTATTTTGCAAACAGCAGGTAGTTAATGGAGCTCTGCAGTTAATAAGTAGAGGTTTATTTATTTTTTCAAAAGCACTGGTGTGAAGGTACGTGCCAACAAAAGCTGGTCCATGCTGAGGGCAACCACTGCCCACACTGCTTTTGATGTCGCACCCTATCTATTTCCTTCCTCCAGCCTGTCCAGGGGTTTAGTCAAAACCATAGCTTTGCCTCTTCACAACTGCAGATCTGTGTGTCGGCTTTGGCCTCCTAGGTCATTCAGGAAAGGCTGGCTTTTGCACTGGGGTAAGAAGCTCACGTCCCGCATAGCTAAGGTCATAGTTTCTCATTCCTACCGCATTTGACAGTTTCCTGCTGCCTGGAAACAAAAATTGCAGGCAACTTGGTGAATGGTATCTCCTTGAGCTAGTTTTATCGTAGAAGAAGGGGCAAAAGTGAGGTGAGCACACGTGTTGAGGGGACATTTGAGTGTTTGGCAGTAAGAAATTCAACTATAAACAATAAGAAAGACAATGGAAATTGCAAAGGCTGCTGAAAAATTAGAGGTGTCTGTCTTCTTGTTTCCCTTCCTCTTCCCATCAAGTTTTGATAGGAGCTCTGTCCACCCATGTCCAGAGGCATGCCTTAAAATCCTAAAACAGATCAAATGAAGTTTTCAAAACATCTCATATTGCACATGAGATTACATACATATTA